TGACCTGCCCATGTTCTTTATATAGTTCAGCTGGAAGATTATCTATTCCGGATGATTTGTTTCTGGCTTATTTTTTAACTGCATGTTTAACTTCAAGAATCTTTTTTGGTTCTCCTTACCACAACTCTTTCGTCTTCCAGGTTTTCTCCTTCTTTCTCTCTATTAACTGCCTGGTTAAAGTATTCTACCCATCTATTCTGACTTCTGCATTGTCTTGTGGTTACCTTGAGTTCTTTTCTGTTGATGTTAACTGTCATATAGAATGCTCTGAATTCTTTCTCTTTGTTGAGGTTTTCTATATATTTAAGTTCCTTATTTAACTGGTTTCGTTTTTTTCGTTCGTGTATCCTCTTTTTTTTTCTCCAGGTTCTCACATTTAGCAAATCTCGCACGTTCGCTGCCACTTCTTTTTCTTACCTTTTCTGTGGCATTCCTTTTGGTCTTTCGCCTTACTATTATCTAGGACTCTTTTTGCCAATCTTTTGGTCTTCATTCTGACTACATGACCTGCCCATCTAAGTCTCTGAAGTTTAACGAATTCTGAAATTAGTGCTTCTTTGAACAGTGGGTAGAGTTTATTGTTGTACCAGGATCTCAATATCCAGTTTTTTTGTTAATACGTTCTAATATCTTCCTTAGTACTTTAATTTACCACTTCACCTTATTCAAATTTGGCACATTTTAGTTTTTCGTAAAAAATTAATAAACTAACACTATCTGAATCATTTTATCAATGACTATTAAACTACAGCAGACAAACATACTTCAGTATTTATTCCTATATACATCTCGTTGATTTATGTGAACTATCCATGTGTGTAAATACGCGCACGTAAGAGGGTAGAAGAGTTTGAATTTCATGTCGATTCGACCCCCGTACGCAATTGACTTTAACACCTGTGCTTTCTCTGCGGCCCGAAACCGACCCCCATAAAAAGTCCCTAATTATAGATAAATGTAACTACAAATTACGCAATATGTTACCCAAGTGGACGGTCAGATTTTTAATAAATGGAAGTGACTGTTAGGTTTTGGATATCGGCGGTTTACAGGCAGTATCATTGCGCATTTTAAGTTTCAAGTTTGGTAAGTGGGAATTCCATATAAAGTACAGATAGTAAAGTTCAAGTATAATGTAAAGATATTCTTCTTCTCTTTGGTCCTCTATTTCCAAATATCTTGCTCTGAAGAATTAGTTGCAACAAGCAATATCTGTGTTTAGTTCTCATGACATGGCCAATATATTCTAATTTGTTTTCTTTAGATTGTAATTTGTTTATCGAATTATAAAGTACAGAGGATAGGGTTATGTATGGAATAGCGCATCAGTCAAATAGCTTCCATGACTTTTATGGCACATACGCATTCTTTTGTAGAAATTTTCCATGACTAATTTGCATAAATGTGACTGAATTTCATTAATGCAGCGTTTAATTTTCTCCTTACATGCATGGGGCGGTTGTAGGCTTATTGGCAGAGATCTTTGACTTCAAATAAAGGAATGAAAATAAATCAAATGGTGTTAAATCACACGATATAGGGAGCCCATTCTGATCATCAAAACGAGAGATTACATATCTAGAAAATTTCTCATTTCTTCTTCTTATTCTTTCTTCTTGTATGTAGGCTTTAAAGCTTGTTTCTTCTTCAATATTAGCCTCCTAAATTGTTTAAATTATCGCATCATCTTTTTCTTGGTCTGCCAATACTTCTTCGTCCATTTGGTGACTTATCTCGTGCTATTCATACTATCCTATCCTCTGCCATTCTACTAATATGTTCGTTTCACTCCTGTTTCCGTGTTGTCACCCATCCATTTATGTCTTCTATATTTCATGCTCTTCTTATGTTTTTGCTTCTCTCCCTATCCAACAGACTTCTCATCTATGTTGTTTCTAGTAGTCGTGTCGTTTTAAATTTGTCAGGTCTTGTCTCCGCCGTGTATGTTAGTATTGGTCTAATTGCTGGTTTCTAGATTCTTGTTTTTGTGTCTTGTCTTAGGTGTTTGTTCTTTCAGAATGTGTCATTATATGAATATTCAGAAATATATAAAACTAATAAATATTTTAATCTTTTAATAGATTTCTGGAAACTAAAGTTTACCCAAAACGTTAAAAATTACAACTATGAATCTAAACAAAACAAAATCGAAAAATAATATGAACTAAATTATAATGAGACGGAGCAATATTTAATGTATTATTTATTAAAATCATGAATGCGTTGGTTGTGTGAGTCCATTTCAAATAGATAAAAGAAATAATAAATAAGACTTACTCACAATCAGTTTAATTTAACTATCTAGACGATGTCTACAATATGCAAAGCATCTTCAGGTCTGTCGATACAAAGTTAATTAAATGCTGAAATAATAAAACCCATATTAGGTTGTTGTCTTATAAAGATAAACAAAGATAAATGATATAAATTACAGTAATTATGCCAATATTACATGTCTGTGGTTTTTCAAAAAATGAATAAACTGTTTAAGCAGGCAAAGTAAGACCTTACTTTGTCTGTTTAAACAGTTTATTAATTTTTGAAAAACCACAGACATGTAATATTGGCATAATTACTGTAATTTATATCATTGAACTTTTTTTATCTTTATAAGACAACACCCTGATATGGGTTTTATTATTTCAGCATTTAATTAACTTTGTATCGACAGACCTGAAGATGAGTTGCATATTATAGAAAGCGAAACCGGTCGTCTAGATAGTTAAATTAAACTGATTGTAAGTCTTATTTATTATTTCTTTTACCTACTATCATTTATTAATTTGAATTTGTTCTATATATATATTGTTTTTTCTAGTGTTGTTTATTTAGAAAACATCCAGGTTATGGAAGCCAACAAAGACTACAATTAGTACTACATGATATTCATTTACTATATCTACAAATATTTCTACTGATTTATGAAAACGATATAAATATTCCTTCATCCTTTTTTATTTGCCTCCCTAACACATCTCTACGCATTTGTAACTATTTCCTCTCTTCTTCTACCTTTTCCACCTAATTTAAATACTAATCCATAATATTTCAGCATATTTCTCTACTTTCGTATCAACAGACACTCCCATTACTAAAGACAGTCGGAACATTCATAATAATTACCTAACTAAAAGCTTGCGTGCGGCAAAGACTTATGTAAAACACAAACAAAAAGTGGGGAAGCTCGGCGGGGGTGCAGCAATTTCGAATCGAGTGACAATCTGTAACATATGACTCCCGATTGCGGTTTAATGGCTTGCTTGGATTTAATTATAGGGTGTGAAAGGTTCAGACTTTTTTCCCGATATGATCTTTCAGAGGGCACTTTATCATTCTATGTGTTGTACACGCGTACAATAATTGGCGAAATAGAGTATGAAAAATGATCCTAACCTATTGGTATTTCTATTTTTTCTACATTTGTTTTAACAATGTTTGCAGTCATATTGAAAGATATTGATTATTGTATATTTTTTGTGTTCTTGTCCATATGATTCATAGTTTGTATTCTTGCTTGAAAAATAAGTATTAATGACAATATTTGAGAGAAGGAAAATTTTAAATACCGCACTCAATAGCTCACTGTCCCGCTGCGCATGACTATGGATTCAGCCATATATTAACGGTCGCTTTAAAGTTTCTAGATTTTAAACAAAACTTGTCTGTCAATGGAATTGATATACCGAATCAATTTTTATCATTTTTATCAATTTTTTATAAACGAATGCTATGCTGGAACAACGTTGTAACCGCCAATACTTTCATGTGTGGGTTTTCCATGAAACAACGTTCTATATATGCAAAATAATGTACTGCTAACTGTGAGGAATGTTACGAGACTTAACTTGCCTGTTTTGGAAGTTTGACAATTAGTCAACCTTCAGCTTTCGATGTAATAACGTTGTATTTCTTAAAGTGTGTCGTGTTTATAATAAAATAATCAATTATAAAGTGTTTTTTTTTTAATTTGTCGACAAAATGTGATTTGGCGTTTACAACGTTGTTCCAGCACTTTAAACTAAACTAAACACTTTAAACAGTCTATAGAGAATTCCATAATAAATACTTATCATACTACACATCTTTCCACTACAAAGCTTATTGGACTAAATGAGACCAAAAATCGCACATAACTTTTGTCAGTAATACTGATTTTTCAAGCAAGAATAAAAAGTATTATAAGTAACATCATATTATTTCGCAACTTATGAAAATAATCGTCGAATTTGAGTACACCGAGCTTTCGACTTCTTCTCTAAGGTCTTCATTAGGGCTTTGTTAGTTTTAGTATTCTGAGCCCCCAGATCACTTCACTTGTACACTGTTGTTGACTGTTCACTGTTCTATTATAAACTGTGAAAATAATAAACCGAGTTAAATCTTTGAATTAATCGGGGATGGATATGATAAAACACCCAGACATCTATAAAGAAACAGCTGGCCAAGACAGGAACGCAGCCACCACTGCAGGTGCATTAGAGACATAGTGTGAAAAGGCTTTTAGGATTAAAAACAAAAACAAGAGTTCATAAAACCTACTTTCAACAAATAGTTACTATTCCATACAAACAAGAGCTAATACAAAGAAGAACACAGCCTCCAAGAACAGCTGAAATTATGACATCAAGATCTATAATAGAAAAAACGAGATGACATCGAACGAAAAAGAAATTGGAATCAACATATGACACGAATGGGAGACTAAAAAAAAAGTTCAAAAATTATAAGAGATGAGAAAACGAATGGAAGAATGTTCCCAGAAAGACTTAAAGGGACGGCAAGACAGCTAGTCTTCGAAATATTACCCAGTAAACATCGATTATAAACCAAATGTATGAAAAAGATGAAGATATTTCGTGTATCACCCTAATAACATCCTAGTACACTTATGTCGAAACATAGCATTTACAAATATATGAGATGTGACAAATCTTAATTGGTATGTTCCGCTTATGTTTCTTTCAGTGGTATTAATAACGTCTTCTTATGTTTTTTTTCAGCAAAATTTTTGCTTTACCAGATGGACGATTCATGCGTAAGCAATCAGAAGACCGAAAGTTTTTGCAAAGTGTGTGGAGATAAGGCTTCTGGTAAACATTATGGTGTAGCTAGCTGTGATGGATGTAGAGGATTCTTCAAAAGAAGCATTCGAAGGTAAATTAAGCAGTTAAAAATTACTTTGCGATCAATTAATATACTCATATATTAACTTGTTTTTAATCTTAAAATAATTTATAGAAATCTGGAATATGTTTGTAAAGAAAATGGGAACTGCATAGTCGATGTGACTAGAAGGAATCAATGTCAAGCGTGCAGATTTAAGAAATGTCTTCAAGTAAACATGAAGAGAGATGGTGAGTAGAATTGGATTTAACTTCTTACTTTAATATTGTTCGTTAGAAAGGAATTATAATTAGTACCAAAATTCTAGGTACTAAATTTTGAGAAATGATAATTGCGTTTTATCGACAACAGTATTGCCACGTTTGTGATTATAGATAATTTATCAACTTCTATATTGATCAATCACAAACGTTCTTATAAAATAAGGATCTTATAAAATATGACAACAACCAGTAAAAAAACAGTAGATCATCGACGCGGCAAGTTAGAAAGAGATATATCACTCAGTCTTGGTGTTCACTTCACACACAGTAGTGTATCGCATATGCTGTTGAAGTGAATTTTAAAAATTTGTGTGCAAAAAAAATATCCGAAACATCCACTCTAGACTCTAGATCTCACATTCTTTCTTCTATTTTCTAGTATGTGTAATGCCATTTTTCCATGAGTCAAAATTGACGTTTTCTATAGCAGTAGTTAGCAGCCTTTTTACATCAATTATTTTTAAAAGTTAAGTTTTCCCTTACTACTTTTTATTTAAGTCTTTGTAAACTCAATCCAGTTCAGCTCACAATGATAAAGAGAGAGGCACCGAATGTGTTCGGTTATGTGTCTCTTTGCAAGATTTCATAATTCTACTGTCAAATATATTATCATCAATTGATAGATTTCTTTGAAAGAGCCAGTTCATGATGTCAACTTTACTCCAGGCAGTTGTTAATTTCCTTTTCAGTATATAGAGCTTTAGTTACCGTAACAGTCGTGTAATTAAGAGATTTTCCTAAAAGAATTTCCTAAAAAGAAGTCTCCAAAACACCTTCATCGTTACTGGATTCATTGTGTAGAGACACGATGTCAGGAACTGAAGTTTTGTTTGAGTCCAAAGAATAAATCTTTTTACAGATTTACATTGTAACAAGAGTTACAATATTATTCATATGAGGTGTCGAAATAGCAAACTTCTGTATACTGTCCTCCAAAGAATAGAAAGATTACATACCTACATAGTTTGCCGTCGTCGACCTTTTCAGACTGCGTTATAGACCTTTCAACTTTTTGTGTATAAAAAAGATAATAAAATACGTAGATACGAAGTGCCTACCACATTTTTCAATTATTTATTATGAAATAACCACCCTTATGTTTTATTATAAGTAAAATAGAAATCCGTGGACGTCATTAGCAGAAAAAATAAATAAACACAAGTGTGAACATGATAAGTGGTAACAGTTGAAGTGTCAAAAGGACCCTTTTATTTGATAGGCGAGGGTTTATGGGGCGAGACGAATGAGGGCAGAACATCTTTGTTGATTATGTTCACTTCAACACAATTTAGGAGATACCAACTAAATTAAACTAAATATATTTATTAACTAATAATTATATAGAGTCTTCAAGGAACATTACAACTGAAGTATGCTGTGGAATTTAAATATTTTAATTTTTGATCTAGTTCTGTTTACTTTTTCTTTATGTTCTACAGTAGTGGCGTATACATGTAGGTCAGGACCGATAGTTTTTGAGACCAAAAAATAGTAACAGGATGAAAAAACGATAAACACAACTTTTGTGTTTCATATAACCCCAAAATTTATGCAAAAATTCAAATAACTGAGTTTTTGGTTTTTTGTTTTTATCTTCCATTTTTTTTTAATTTAAAATATTTATTTTTACCATTATTTTGATTTAATATTAAAAAAACACCAGCATAATTTCCAATCGAAAATTTCAAAATGTCAAAATATCTGATTTTTTTCAAAAAATCAGCATGCTTTTTGTTCGTTGAAACCACTATTTTCTGACGGTATACAAAAATATACATTTCCATGGCAATTTTACTTTTTGCAACTAACATGGCAGTTTTACTTCCTTTCGTAATTCTTTTTTCTGCTTCAGCATCTTCTTCGGCTCCATTTGTAATCATCACTCCGAGGTATTCGACTTGATCCACGTTTTCAAAACAATACTCTTACTTACGCTAATTATTCAATTACCTTCGGGTTCCATTTTCTTTGCTCTCATTTCAAAGTATTTTATTTTATTTTCGTTCATACATAGTCCGAACTTTTTCAATATTATTTCCGTTTTGTTAAATATTCTTATTAGTTCTGATTTTGATCTCGAAATTAATGCTATATCGTCTGCAAAAGCGATAACTTGATGTCTCTTGTAGTATATTATTATACCATCTGTCTGTAAATCACTTGAGGAAAGCTTTTAGGAGAAGGTTAAAGAAAGTTTTGGATAGTTGATCTATGTTCAAACCTATATTCATTCATAGCTGTTCTACAATATTTGTTGTATCGTAAAATAGGATCAATTGTAGATCTGACTCTTCTAAGCCTTCCCTGATATTCACCTATTTTTTAAGATTTTTCCACCAATTTCTCAATTTTCCAAATTCGTTTTATTAGCTTAGTTATTCGTTTGATTAACAGCTTTCTACCTTTCTTAAATATTTCTGTTGTAATACCGTTTTCTTCTGAATTCTTGTTATTCTTCGGATGCTTTATTATTTCATCTAATCCCCAATCTGATGGTTCGTTTATTTCGGCCTCATTGATGTTTTGCTCTGGTCCGGTTTGTGATTGTATTTCATTCAATCAATTGCAAATCACCTGTTTTGCAACTTAATATACACCTTGTTAAATTATTAAGAGACGTTGTATTAGTTTTTATCCTACCCGTACATTTAACCAAGATTCCGTGTAAAAAGTACAGACGCTAGGAAACAATAAACGGTTGTAATACATTAGAAAAGACTGTTTTTTCATACATTGTATGTTAACAAAGAACGATAGAAAAATTGAATGGCTTTAGTTAAAAGTGTAGATCGCTGGGTAATTATCGCCCACGCTTAGCGGCAGCCTGTACAAACCCACTCTTGGTCCAACAACTGAATCACTCGGTCACCATCAAGCACTCGGTCACCATTAAGCACTTGGTCACCATCAAGCATTCAGTCACCATCAACCACCAGTCTGTTAGGGACAGTCATTCCATCCAGTAGGGGTGTAGGTCGATGCCCATGCACTCTTTAGAGCCACACAAGATCGAGAGGAGTATGCCAGAATTGTCGCCAAAATCCACTAATTGGATAGGGCACCATAAAAAGTAGGTGTGTAGGCTGCTCCATCATCAATACTTTTGTGGTTCCTATATGTCGTTGAAGACATCCTTTTTGATAGCGGTCGGTGCTATCATTCCATTTAAGTAAAGTACAATAATACATCAATATCTTGTTGCTGTTATAGATCAAGTACGTTCACTTGGTGTTAAATTATTCCATATTGTGTCGCGATTTGAACTTTATTTTAAACATTTTACTTTCGTTTTAATATTATAAACTTTATTATATAATTATGTCTTAGTTGCTGATTGTTATTAACATGTGTTTATAATTATTACTTTTAAGTTGCATATAATGTAATTATTTCTTCTCGATTGCATTTTGTTTAACATCATTATTATATTTGAACATTGTGTATAATAAAATCATTATATTTCTTTTTATTGTATTTGAGTAGCAATCAGCTATTAAGGTTATTGTTCTTTCTTTCATATTTTAGCATACCTACTCAAAATTTCTTTTGAAGACTGGCAGTTTGGTTTGTGTGATATAGATATCCACAACTATCGTCTTCTTTTTCTATGGTAATATATATACCTACCCAATAGGAAAGGGAGAAACCAGCGAGTTTTAAATTAATAATATAATCTCCTCCCTTTCTAATGTCTTTATATGTTGTATTATAAAGATCATCGTATGTCCAGAAAGCAACATCACTTATTGCCGTGTCTTCTTTACTTTTGTAAAAGCATGCGATTCCGGGACCTGTATCGTTGATGACTTGGACTTCTTGGTAAAAATTTTTAATCTCTTTGTTTATCATATGATTTTCCTTATCTTGCAACCTCTTCTCAGTATTCTCGTTTCTTTTTTTTGCAGGTCTGTTGTGCTTTTTTCTTTGCTGCTTCATAACTCTTCCTCGCTTCTGTATTCAGTATATTCATCTGTATTTAAGCTTTTCTTTTAGTTTCTAATTACCTTTTACATTTTGTATCCAACCAATATTTACTGTTTGTTTTAAATAATTGATGGATTCGACCGTTACTTGATGGAAATTCATTTTATGTAACAATAAAACACTGAAAACTTTGTTTTCAAACTTCCACAAAATTTATTTTAAATGTTATCACTACAGCTGTTTCGGCTGATTGCCTTTCCTAAGTGATCTATTTTGGCTTGGGTTTACAAATTTATAGTCTCTAATGAAATAGGTTGAGGAGGGGAGAACTGTTTGTCTCAAGTTGGTCATTCAGAATTATATCTGTGTTTTTTAATTTGTTGATTTCCATAGATTCTAACAAAGATAGCTTAAGGCCTTTATTTTGAATGTGAAGAATTTTAAATTTGTCATTAAAAGAATGATTATGATCTAGAAGGTGAAGTGCGTATGTCGAATCTGTTTTTCTATTCTTGAAAGCCCTTTTATGTTCTGCTATTCGTTTATCAAAGTTTCTACCAGTTTGACCGATGTAAGTTTTTGGGCAGTCACCACATTCAAGTTTGTACACACCACAATAAATAATAAAAAATAATAAAAAACACTTAAATAGTGGTGTGTACAAACTTGAATGTGGCGACTGCCCAAAACTTACATCGGTCAAACTGGTAGAAACTTTGATAAACGAATAGCAGAACATAAAAGGGCTTTCAAGAATAGAAAAACAGATTCGACATACGCACTTCACCTTCTAGATCATAATCATTCTTTTAATGACAAATTTAAAATTCTTCACATTCAAAATAAAGGCCTTAAGCTATCTTTGTTAGAATCTATGGAAATCAACAAATTAAAAAACACAGATATAATTCTGAATGACCAACTTGAGACAAACAGTTCTCCCCTCCTCAACCTATTTCATTAGAGACTATAAATTTGTAAACCCAAGCCAAAATAGATCACTTGAGAAAGGCAATCAGCCGAAACAGCTGTAGTGATAACAT